ACAGCTTCCAACAAAGTATGGTTAGTTTTACAATTGTAAGGATGCCCTGCTCCTTCATTTCAAAATGAAAAGTGATGTAACCATTAACAACACATGAGCCTAGTATCCACCATCATAGCCGCCAAGATAAAGCAAAAAGGGATACCGGTATGGACTCTACATAGTCATGTCATGGCAGGCACAAGCTACCTACAGGCAATTTTTTGCAAGAAGGTAGGTGGAAAAACAAAACAAAACAAGGAGACAAGTGACAACAATATGGGCGGGTGGAGTTCTTCTGGCTGTTTACTTAACCTGATCTATCATATATTAGGGAGAACAATATTTAGCTTACCTGTTGTAGACACGCAACGACCACCATCCTTGAGACTGCACGTGCAACAACAATAACGCTCAAAGATATTCCGGCGTGCAAACAGCTGCGCCGAAATTGTATCTCAGTCATGCTTCCAAATCGACGTGGCACATCGCTGCCAGATCTTTTACTGGACGAGGAAGGCCTTTGAGTATGAAGCAAACTCTGGTGGATAAAATATGAACTAACAGAATCGTTTAATTGGCCGGGTTAGGGTAAATCTGGTTTAGGCTAACGTGCTCCAAAGTTAGTATAAACTCGGATCTGGGCTGTTCCTATCAAAATACACTAGTTTTAATTTATGCTATCCAAAAAGTTAGGGTAAATTAAAATAAATTGAAAATCGGGTTTAGGCTAACGAAAAGTTAGCCTAAACCCGTTTCACAAAAGCTGGAATAATATTGACCATAGCACGCGATGAGTGATAATGTTTTAGGTCTCTGACTTACATTTCATGTATTAGCAAATATTTCAAACCACAGTCGCGCCGGGTAGTAGGTAGTAGGTACTAACACATTTCTTGAACTTGTTCTTTTCATTTTTTTACCGTTCTTCAAACAAAATAAATTTTTCCTTGCAACCCGACAAGTCCTGCCATGTGAGCCAAAGCACCGATGCATTACTGTCAAATAGATTTTAAATTGTCTTATCCGAGTAGTGACGTTTAAAAACCGTGAACTGTTTTATGAAGGTATGTATAACCGTTCGCCTGGAATCTAATAAGACGTCAAAATTGTCAAAAGGACAAAAAAAACAGTCGTTTTTCCTATGCACGATGTGATGCCATCTATTTGACAAGGACGGAAGTTATTTGCAATAAAAAGGTATTTTGAGTGATGTTTGACGTACATGGTCAATAGAAGGTGCAATATGGCCAAAAGGCCAATAGACCCAGAGACCCAGAGGAGACCGATTCGAATCATGTGTCACTCGAGCAGAACAGAGGAACGGAACGTGGTGTAGTGCACACGTCGAACACTCTGGGCTGTGACTGTGAAGTGTAAAGCACTGTAACCAGCCCTGTGATGGTGTGGAGGAACAGACCGTGACGGTGCTACTCTATCGCCCGTTGCTCGGTGCCCGGCGCTCGCCGTCACTGACCCGCCCTAATGACGGTCTGTTGTGACAGCGGCCAGCCACTATCGTCCGCTCCAGAAGGACCGCCGGCCGCCGCCAGCTCCGATACCCATCGGGGCCGCGTATTAGCCGAATTGTTCAGTAAAATGTGTTTGGCCGCGGCGCCGCGCAGCCGATGCGCGCCCGATACCAGCCTCCCGACACTGGCCAGCGCCGGGCCGACGCCGCCAACAACGGCCGTCATTTAGATACCGATTGAGATTTCACCGCTCGGCCGGGAATATGCCCGATCTAAAAGCTCTATCAAAGCCAGAATGTCAGGCATTCTGTGTGGCGCCATTTTGGAATGGCCGTTCGGCGGCGGCGCGCGCGGGAAGATTCCCAGACGGAGTGGTTCATGGCGCCGCCGACTCCCCCGGCCGTGACGGCCCCGTCGCTCCTTCGGTGGGAGAGAGATGGATGATGTGAACTCCGATCGCCATTTGCCCTCCGCCGACCGCAGGTGTCGAGGCTCAGTGAGCACTCCGATCTCGATATGTAGTGCAAAGCAACATCGCTGAAAATACTCGTAGGGGAGAGTGGGGTAAGATGCCCAGGGTGGGAAAGACGCCCCACCCCCTCTAGCGGCGAAACAAAGAATCGAACCTGGAAATTAATGTTCTTAGCGTAAAGCGGAAGCCTGCCTTGTAAACTGCACAAAAATTTGCGAAGCTCAGTTGGGCAACGGCTGGCTGGTGATTGCATGTTTTTTATTTGCTGCTTTCAAAAAATATTTTGGTGTCAAAACATTGTAAATATCAAAGAAGGTAGACAATTTTTGCGTCCCTTGCTATAGTCGTGATACATTAACATGCGTGTACTGTGTCCCAAACAGTTTGTTTCAGTGTGTAGTTTTATGGCTAAAAAATTGTACTAATTTAATGTTACTTCGGTACCTTGGGGTAAGATGCCCCCTGTCCCGATGGGGAAAGACGCCCCCCTAAATCCGTAGGCTGTCCTTCAAGCAGCCCGTCAAATCATTTATTACATACTTGTGATGAGAAACAAAAGCCGATCTGGGACTATTGAGAGTCCAGTACGGTCGGGTGCTCCCCATGCCGGTCTCTCGGCCCACACAGCGACTTTTTGGGCGGCATCTGACTCTGAGAGCCCTCACGACGGCCTCTGTGGGCCCCATTATTGGCTCCAGGGCCCCTCACGACATTCTTTGAGGGCTCCTAGGTTGGCTCCACGGGCCGCACTGGCATCTGAGGTCCCCACGATGGGCTCGAGGGTCCTCAAGCATCATGAAGACCTATGTATAAGGGCCCCACAGTGGTCTCCGAACGCCACCACGGAGGCTTGTTTGGCCGCGCTGGACTATGATGGCCCTAACGATGACCTCTGAAGCCCCTTACGACTACTTTTGAGGGCCCTTGCAATGACGTTTGGTGTCTACTGCAGGCCCGAAGGGACTACTGATTCGTTCAGGTGATTCACGTACCCATTTATGTCACTTATAGTGCAGGGGGGCGTCTTACCCAACGCCAGGGGGCGTCTTTCCCACCCTGTGGGGTAAGATGCCCCCTTTCACTTCTTCAGGAAAATGCTTAATAGCAAAAAAGTTATCATATTTCAGACACGAAGTGTGATATTTTTGGAGAAAAACGATGTCGGCTTCTGTTGCAACTCCAAGTTCTTGCTTTCTGATCGTCATTTTCGAATAATATACGACATAGTAAAACCCTGGGCATCTTTCCCCACTCTCCCCTATGTAGTGAATGAGAAATAGGCACGCAAAAAATTAAATGGATAACCGCTATCTTTAAATACAATTTTCGTTGCCTATTGCAGCATTCGTGGTACGTCGTTTTTTTTTCGTATTATATCTACATAGATACGAGTATTGGCAGATCCCGCCTCTCCCAGTACCCTGGTGCCATGTGTGGGTGCTGCTCCGATAATATTTCGTCCCGTCTCTCCTCAAAGTTTGACCAGGATATCTCGACTGGCCGGGCCGGCGGGGGCGGGTCGGCTTTGCGCGCGGGCGGGGGCGGGGGCGGACGGTGACGCGCCGCCCGCCCAGCCGGATGTTAGAGTACCGTCCATCTCTCACGCCATCTCCTTGTGCCTCTCGTTCTGTGACGCCCAGGTGCCGGGGTAGGTCCGGATCGACGGTGCCCACCCCGATAGCCCTGTAAATCCATCGCCGGGCCGGCGGCCCGTGTGTGACGTAGTGCGGCCCGTGCGTGTGGGACACGGCCCTCACCCGTGACCGAGGGTAGACAGAGGGCCGAAAGGCACCGCTGCCCGCACGGCCCACAGGGTGGCCCGACCTCAGAGGCGACGTTAACTCTCCATCGGACACCTCTGGCCAGCCGAAAACGGAGCAGGACTGACTGACTGGTGGTGCCAGTGATTCACAGAGTGCCACATTTGGCCTCGCACCCCGACCCGACTGAGTGATGGAGTGGCTAATGTGGCACGGTCCTAAAACATGGATGAAGTAAAAGTGGAAAGTTTAGTCAGCAGGGTATATGTTATGCATGAAAGCAAAAGGAGGCGTTACTGTTCATGTACTATTCAATCATCCACTGAATGCAATCGCCGCAGTCAGCCAGTCTGGCGTATGAATGCTGAATGCAGACGGGTGGCCAACGTCCTCAAGTTTTCAGACTGCTTCATAGTTTATACAGAGTACAGTGATAGTGAAATGATATCGTTGCACCTAGCTGGTGCAGGATATGGCGTCGGAATTGTATTGTATGGGTGACGTCGGAATTGTAGGAGAAGAGTGCTAATTTCCTTTGATTTTATTTCTCCCATATCGCTGCACTATCTCAAATGCGGAAAGTGCCATAAAGATTCACCTTTCACCTAATGATCTGCCGTTTCTCTGAAGTTTCTGACCTCTTTAGGCTATAGTAGTAGCAAATATCGCATACCTACGCTGCCAAACATTTCACCTTTACGAGTGCCTTCATGGGACTTGAGGCGCTGTAACATCATGTTCAATGCAGCATGCAGGCGATTAGCTCCATTCTATAGGTTCAATCGTGTTTTCAAATAGCCTCGTTTACAAGTGCCGATCGATAGGTTAAAGCATCTATGTAGTTGTTTGCTCATTCGAATATTGCAGATTAAAACGCTGTCACGAGCCGACTGACACGGATCCACAGTTTAAAACGTCCAAGATGGACTGCGTTTTATGGAGACGTACAATTATGCTATTGACTGATGGCTATTTGCAGTGAATATCATGCATATCGGCGTGCTATGAATGGAAAATCAACAAGTGACCGACGACGGCCAGACTAATTATTACAGCGTTTTGGCTGACATTATTATGCGCCAAACCCAGCATGTCTCTTTACGGATAACGATGTAATTTTCTCCAGTTCTTCTGTGATTTTAGATGGGCCAGCTCATCAAGTTGGTACACGACAGTGGACTCACAGAAGAAATGCCCGCCCTAAGTTAAACGACTCTACCTGTGTGACATTCTGACGAGTTTCCTTCACTGTGAGTGTGACCCTCGGACCCCTCACCAGGCGCGCAGTACCTAACCCCTTCCCTCTGTGTCCGGCAGAGCGGCGGCCGGTTCGGCGCCATCGGCCAGATGCAGGCCATCCCGCTGGTAGCCAGCTCACCCGTGCGTCACGGCAGTCCGCTGCCAGCACACATGGTGGACGTGCAGACCTACCAGCCGCCCTGGAAGGCGCTCACAGAGTTCGCGCTCAACACCGACCTCGAGAGGCTCGACCCCAACAACCCCGCCTTCCAGCAGCTGGCCAGTCAGGTTAGTTAAAGACTCGACCCCAACAACCCCGCCTTCCGGCAGCTGGCCACTGGCCAGCCAGGTCAGTAAAGGCAAATAACCCAACAACCCTGCCTTCCAGCAGCTCGCCAGTCAGGTCAGTAAAGGCAAATAACCCAACAACCCCGCCTTCCAGCAGCAAAACATCCAGGTGAGTATATCGCAGGTCAATGTCTGACCCCAGGTCAGTAAGGCAGTCGATAGGTCATGGCTTGACCCAAATCTACCCTCCAGCAACAAACCATCCAGGTCAGTACATCGGGTCAATGTCTGACACCGAGGTCAGTATACGGCAGGCCTCGGCAGTCGGCACGACTCCAAACAAGCCACCATTTCAATAGCGGATAAGGTGAGATCTTAACTTATTTTGCTTGCTCAGTGCTTGTAATGTATAACACCTCGCACGCACCGGAATCGATTGTCGTAAATATGTGATATTCTAATTTTCATGATGAAAAACTTTACGTACACACTGCTAATTGAAACCTCTTTTTGAAGCACTACATATAGTCCGGTGGGCGGCGATGAGCTTAATTAGTGACTTTATGCGTGGAAAAATAGATAGACGCGCCAATTTCCTTCAAACTGTCTAGCTCTGCTTTCCAAAGGCGGCAGGCATCATGACAAATGACACCAGAAGACATGTCTATTATTACACACGTCATTTGGGTAATGAGCGCCGTCATGTGGAGGTCAGTTGTCCCATACATACCATACCAGACAACTGGATTATGTAAATTCTCATCAAAGGAGCCAGCGTACTATTTCCATTTCGTCGGAACTGGTGGAATGATATGCATATGTTTGTGTCCAGCTCCTGGCATCCCTAATGGAAGTGCTATTGCTTCATTTACAATGAATGAGACGTAGGAGACGTGCACACAGCACAAGGTTGGCTGGAACCCAAACATGTGCATCATCCGTGAGTTTGACCAGGCGTTATCAAAATATAAAAATAGCTTAATTATCACCAGCAGCATTGCCAGTGCAGGGCAATGCACGAAAAACAAAACACACCTTCCTCTCGGATTTTTGGCCGGCTCTACCGACGGTGATCCGGATTCAGTTCTCTTCTGCGGGCCTGGCTAACCGTTCCACGTTATCTGGCCGTTACATCCTCTCTGGCCCCCAGGTCGGCCCCCTGTGTCCTCCCGCTGCCGTTGTGAGCTGACAATGCGGACACCGCCCAGCGATCAGCGTCCTTTCTTCTGCCGGCCTGCTTCAGTGTGTCATTCTCTCGGTCCGGCGCGGCCGACCGTCCGACCTACCGGCCACCGGTGCCTCTAATGCACCCTTTTACCGCACCCGTAATTAACGTAATGGACTCTCCTTAAGCGGGCAAATATTATGGCATTCTTGTCGGCACCGATGAAGAAATGTGTGCGGCCGCGGGACGGACGCGTTCGCTTCGTCGGCTGCGCGTCATCGCTGAAAGGCGCCGACAGGGTGTCCCGCTGCGCCGACAGGCTGCCCGCTGGCAGAGCGACACCCGGCCTGCCCCCGTCCGTCCCTCTCTCTCTCCAGCGGGAGAGGAGAGGAGGGCAGAGCGATCAGAGGACTGCCCGAGGGCGGCAGCTAGGCGGGACCTCCGAGCGCCGATAGGATCTGCTCCGCCGGCGCCGAGGTGGCGGCGCGCCCCTTTGACGTGCCGCCCGGTGTCCGCCGAACCGGCAGAGGTGTGTGCTCTCCGCTCCGCCGAGCCGCCCCACGGCAGCGGAAAGGTCAGCCGAGGCTGAAGCGACAGGAAATAGCGACGGCCAATCAACAGAAAGTATAGAGAAACTGTAGCCGTTGGGAGCGACAAGATGGCATTAAAAACATTCAAACCAAATCTTTAAATAGTCAACACTCAACAAGATTCCTCCCGTCTGGCAGACGCAAGAATTTGGGGGCCTGGACGAACCCATAGCTGCATACATTTCATCACTCAGCTGACTCGACACCTGTGCAGTGACGCGGTCACGTCATGACATGGTGTGACATCACGACACACTCCTCCCGACCAGCAGTTCAGGGACCGGCTCCGTGCCGTGCTATAAGCACGCCGGCCGTGCAGCGGCCTCCTGCGAGCTGCTCCGCCGGCGGCAGGGACCGAGAGGGCCGATATCGGTACAGCGATCGACTGAAAGCGGCGCCTTTGATGTCGGGTTGAGGTGACGGAGGTACGGCCGTCGAGGCACGACGTAGCCGGGCGGCGTATACAGAAGGGATCTTTGAATGCAGGAGAGAGTAGAGCTGCTTGCATGTAGTCAAATCGTATTCCTGACGGTAAGCCGGTCACCAATAACGCTAAGCCCATGCGTATTCTTAACTTCATGAATTCATAGCTCATGTGAGTTTAAATTTTCTTAAAAACGACGCAGGCCTTATGAAAAGTTGGTGCATTTGATTGCTTATACGCATAGCGCAATAGTTGGGATGAGTATTCAATAGCGTGGGGTTGATATTGATGTAGAAGTTCGATAAAGCCCACATACATTTCTTGCATCATTTTCTTCTCTGAAACATCTATAAGATTGCTAGAGCTATGATGCTGCGCTAGTTTGAGCCTGAGTACCACATCAATATTTTAAGGCGGACCTGATTAAGATGGCGAGAGATCAGTTGCGTAAGACAAATTTCCATGTGTTGCGGAAGTGTAATTGGGGGTGAGATTTTAATGTCACTTTGCACGTCTCCAACACCTGAACCACTAGAATATGCACGACAATGTTATTATAATATGAATCTTACCACTTTGAGTTGATTGCCTTTAAATTATTAAGTAACCATAGCACGGAACTACGTCATACAGCCAACCCAGTTTGGTTGGTGTCCAGCGGGAACATGTTGAGCTGTTTTCGGAATCTTGGAACTTGGAATTTCATTACATTTGATGCACCAAAGGCTTGTCATTTCGAAGCATAATTATCAACATGCAGACATGCATATCAAAAGGTATGTAAGTACGTAACTCTTAGGTAATGGAAACCCCGTCTAGCGCTACTGAGGCCATTTCATATCAGCCCTTTGTTTGTGTAAACTGACGTTTCAATCTTATTGGCGTTCATAATCGCGGACGATTTATACTCAGTCATCATTTTAAGAAAATGGGGCAAAGCAAAAGCAAAATGCCCGACCTCTCCTATGAGGTAAAAATTATGCAAGACGGAAACCTTCTCGAAAAGACCGCTCAATTCAGCGGACTTCTTGTCCACTGCCCCCTTTACATGTCTCGAAAAACTGAGCATACCCAGCCAGCATTATAACCTTGGCCCCACATGGGGCCCAGGTAGGCCACTTGGTGGGACCCATGTGGGCAGCCCATGTGGGGCCCACATGCAGCCCACATATTTGCCCATCTCTAGCCCATGGCCCACCTAGCCCACCATGCCCATCAACTGCCCATGTGGGGCCCACATGGGCATGCTGGCTGGGTATTGGTCGATAGGATAACGCATGCTGTCAACACTCCATGTTTCCTAACGCTAGGTATTTATATACTATCTACATATATGCTTCAAGGCCGGAGCCCAGTGCATTGATTTGTTTCGCCGGCGGCTGTTGGTAGGTCACGGCCCAAGCCTGTCGCCTAGCCGAGCCAAACCCACTTCAATGCAGTCTTCCGATCTGGTTCAGTCGCTCCTCTGCGACTGAACACACCGGAACTGCGCGGCTTCCGGACTCCCGGTGCGGCGGAGCAGCGCACCCGGCCGAGAGTCCCGAGTCGGTTCGTTTCCTGACGTCAGTCAGCCGCGTGCCCTGGCTTGTGGCTTCCCCAACTCTCTTCTCCGGGGGTCGTCACGGGCAGCAGTGGTGTAGAGGAAGAGTGAATGTAATATATACCTCGAGTTAAAAGTCTGTTTTTTTTTTTTAGCGGTTACTATTTTCGGCAAGCCTGGTATGTAAAGATTAGAATTCAGAAACGTGTTTAGTTGCATTCTGCTTTGTTTTTAAACGTTGACATCCAATGGAACCTAAAATAAAACTCAGAAATTTTGCATTCAAAATGGAGGATTTTCAGCCCTTTTATCACCTAAATACATTCGTATTCAATATTGACTTAGGTATAATGTTCGTTCGCGACAGAAGTACCGCACCCTACTTAGCGTTGTCATGGTCGCCGGCGCCGCGATCAAAACTCCGCAGTCTTCCACTTATTGCATTTACTGCCCTACAGCGGCCATACACTCGGCAAGGCTGCACTTTTCGCTGCGCCCGTTAATGGGTTCGAGCGATCCACCCGATGTCCGACGCTTTTACTACCGCCCCTCGATGTCGGCGGTTCGAGCCCCCGTGGAGTGGCAAGGGCCACTGGGTACTGCAAGGCTGGCTCGGAGCTTAGCATTAGAAAGGATGTGACCTGTGAACAGGCTACGCAATCGGTATGGTGTCACAAAGCATCGGCATTGAAGAGAATACATTGATTGGGAAATTTCGCTTTGGGTTTTCGATATCATTTAGTCTCAGAGTGAATATTGAAATATGAGAACAAAGACCACTGCGCATTTCATAAACCGCAATAAGTACTTATAACCGTGTATATGAAGTCTACCGATCATTCATAGGAGTATTCGAAGCGTGATCTAGGTACTGGGCTTTAATACAAATTTGTAAAACTTTGGATTAGCGCTTTGTAAAACTTTGTAAAACTTTCCAAATTTGTTAAAACGAGTCCATAGACAATCTCACTACCCCACATAAGACTCTTGCCTAACTGGACCGCTGCTCCGTCGCTCTGATTTTGTGATGTGTGAAGCCCACTCCGACCCAGCGTCCAAGCCTTGCTGAGTCTGGAAGGCAGCGCGCCGATCGCGCTGGCAACACCTAGCCGCCCAGAAAAGTACCGAATCGCGGCCTCGGTGGCCAAGATTGATGTGCCATAAAGGAGCGCGATACTTCCTGGCCTAATGCACCGGCTGCTGGCCCGCCGGCCATTACGCCCGCTCCGTCGCTCCGTTCGCGACTGGACAGAGCCGGGGCCGGCCGACCCCCCAAGAGACGCGAAATTAAATGACCAAATTGGAGTTGACAGAGCGTAGTGGGCGGCGTGGCCGGCAGAGCGGCAGTGGAGGGGCGCCGGATGGCCGGGGCGGGCCGGGGCGCCCGCGGGCGCCGGGGGCGTCTGGCGGGGTCAGCGGCGGGCGCTCCGTCTCCGCTCGGAGGGGAGCTGCGCCGACCGGAGACAACTGGCCAGGGCGGTGACAAGTGGCGTCGTTAGTCGCCGCCGGCCGGGGGAAGGGTCGCCGCCGCCGGCGCCGCGTCAGTCCGTCCCCGTCCCCGTGTCCAGTTCCCCCGCCGGGGGCCGGTGTATAGCGGCACGCGCCGCGCCGTCCGAGGGCCGCCGGCGTCCGACCAGTGCACGTGCAAGGTGCGCCCCCTGACCATTGGAGCCGGACAAGGGACCGACTCTGTTCCGCTCCTGTTCCGGTCGCTAATGGGCGTTTTGTCCTCGCAAGCATAGTGCGCTTTCAGCAATGGTGGCGTGCCGGTCTGAAACGCGGGATTCGGTTCACCAAATGGGTTCCAGGCCTTTCAGTGGAAACATGAGGAGGAGCCTGTCTGCTGTGTGCCCAGTTACGATCCCATTAGTGATCCTTTCATGGTATCAGCAATACGGCAAAGTGCTAAGCCCCGATGCGAAACCATAAGAACATCAGAATAGCCCACGACGAAACAAAGTCGCTGCTAATGACTCATTGGACAGTGCAAGGAGCTTTCTTGGGGTTTAGTCTGCTAACGAAAGGTTTGCTACTTAGTTCTAACCATTCGCCCCCTGAACACATTTTTGTGTTCCGATCACATTTTGCAAGACGTGATTGAGGACCCTGGGTCCCGGTTGATGGAGCGCTTAGCTCATGTACGAGCTCAGAAAGCCTTCTCCCTGAAATATTGTAGGTGGATTAAATGATTGCATTGCGTGATTTTCAGCATGGTGAATTAAATTATTGCATCTTGCATGAGTTTAAGGGCTGAAATAATCTTTGGCCGAAGCTTTTCTTTCCGGCATGAAACGCTGTTTTCCTCTCCCTGGTAACCTGCGACTGCTCTCGTTATAGCACACACGAAGAAGCCCAACTATGCGCTTATTACATCGAGGGTTTTTCGCAATTAATCAATTATGACCGTGCACTTTATACGGATTCTGTCCCGATTGAGGCAATATCCGTCTTTTTGTACGTTAAATTTCACCGAAGCGGTTAACCTCCGAACACGTCGCCTTCATTCCATAAGTAGGATGCCTTTTGTCGACTACGCCTCCATACCAATGCACCGTTTCTCGTGAGCTAAGCCGCACCGCTGGCCGGCGGTGTTCCGACCGACTCTGGTCATTGATCGATCGTCGCACACGGATGCCGACATGTCGCCGACGGATTGGCGCAGCGATCCGTTCGTTTTGTCGACGGGTAAACTGATTAGGTGCCGAGCGAGCTCAGAGCAGCGTACAGCGACGTCACTGCCGCTCCCGAGCCAGTCATGCATACTGCTGCTGAGGCATGAAGAGAGAAAGAGAGAGAGAGAGAGAGAGAGAGAGAGAGAGAGAGAGAGAGAGAGAGAGAGAGAGAGAGAGAGAGAGAGAGAGGGAAAGGAGGGGATAATGCAAGGTAATTGATATGAGAATGGGGAGAAAGAGATGAGAGTAAAATTAGAAAGCACGTACAAATTATTTAGGGTCGAGATGAGAAACTGTGTCGGAAGAAACCCCATAGCCCGACGCTCACGAATAATGCAAAGTATTTGTGTCCCCGTCCTGTAAGTGCTAGATGTGCGTGTTCTGACGGCAGCTCTCTACCCGCAGATGCACGGTTTCTGCCTGGAGGGCGGTGCCGGTCCGGGTTCGGCGCCGGTGCCCACCAGCCAGCCGCCTGCGTTCGGCGGCGACACGGATCCACTGCGCTACCCCACGCCCGACGAGCTGCTGGTGGACTGCGCCGAGCAGCAGAGCGACCTCTCCAGTCACAGCGACTGAGACTGAACGACTCACCTCACTCGCCTCTGTGATATCCGCGTACGCCGCGGCGGCCGGCGCCACACCGGCCCGGCCGCCGCGGCCCGAGAGAGAGGACGCTTCTTTTGGGCACCTGCTCTAGGTGGAAACCAGTGTTCTATCTCGTGTTGCCTCTTGTGGTCATTTGGTAAGTCCTGTCCGCCTGTCGAGCCGAGGAGTGCGGCCTATTTGACCGCCTTCGTGTGGTTCGTAGGAGAGCAGCTTTCTGTGCTGCGGCTCCTGAAGATGCCGCTGAGGATCCCGTTTGAGGAGGAGGCAGCCTTTGGTTCGGTGTTAGCGTTTCACCAGTACAGTACAACGGAGCTCGGTCTGGTGATATTGCCGAGTAGACCACTCGGACCTGGTGCTGAGGCACGGGAGGACATTGCGGCGGGAGCTGTAGGGTGTAGCTGAACGTCTGATTGTCTGGCTGAACTTCATCTTCCCTCGATTACCTTCAGACCCAGCCAATCATCAGCCCTTGAACCTGTGTTTCCCTTTCGCCACAATTACCCTGAATTTGAAACCAGCTTCGAAGGCGAAAAGGTGATCGTGATTTCTTGCTTTGTACCTAAGTTTATTGTTGGAAGATGTGTCCATTTGTAGTTGTAGGGGCAAGAAAGGTTCGCCTTGCAGCTGTTTTCTCGATGGCATTAGAGGTAGGATAATCCGGCACTTTATGGCTAACTATCGAGCATTGTATAGTTTCCTCATTCTTTATGCCCATGGCGCATAGCTCATGTGGAAATCGTATGATATTCTTGAATGCGTTTTAATTCCGCCATCGCTTCCTTGCTTCAGCCGGCGTATCTGATTGTTTCGCGCCAGCAAACTAGACTCACCCATATGCGTGTGCGTGTGTGTGCGTGCGATTGCCGGTAAGCCACCCGCATCTGTGCCAGTGTGTGTAGCCATGTATCGGACCGTGTGACCTCTATCGTGCCGTTACGTTTGCGTGGACCTGTGGCCCAAGGGGGACGGCCCCAGATTTGCCGGGATAGGGCACTCCTGTATGTGTAAGAGGCTCGGTGGGGCGCTCCGGCTCAGTGGCAGCCGACATTGGCGGATCCAAAAAGGTGACAGTTAACCCTGCAGGGCGTACTACGTCCATTTTTTTTGCGAAACCGTAAAGCTGTTTCTGAATTGCCATATTCACTGATATGCATTTTAGAGCAAATCCTTTTCAAAAAAAAGTTCAAGTTTTCGATCCGTGAGAGGAAAACGGCAGTTTTTCTCGTAACTTTCGATTGTTGCAGAGATAGGTAAATGTCCAAAATATCCCGGATCCGCCAATGCGGCAGCCTTTATACTCAGAGGGCCGACGATAGACGGCTCCTCCACACATCGGGCCCGCCGACCAGTGATATTAGCGCGTGAAGGGGAGCACGGTTTACCGGCCACCCTCCCACCCTCTGCGAAACCCCCCGTGTTGTTCTGGATGTGTGCCACCAGCCTTCGGCACTAGTGCGTGCGTGATGTGTGCATGGGAGGTGCGACCGACACAGACATACAAACTGATATGGCGGTGGACTGATAGACTGAGGCGATAGTAGATGAAGCTTTGGAAGACTGACGCCGTGAGCGACGTTCGAACCAATTAACCTGACTTGCAGTTGACAAAACTGAGGGATCACCCGATCAAAAATTAACTTTGTGACGAGATTTTCCTCAAACAACTCAACAACCATGAAACCAGGTAACGAGCAGTATCGTGCTCCTCTGGCACTCTGATATTTTTGTACCGTTCTACCGTTGTAGATCAAGCCTGAATCACCATGTCCGGCCCTGACCGACAGATTTGGGTGCGTAATGCGTATGCGAGTCTACACCAATCCAGCCCGTGTGTGACTGACGTCCGTGACGGTAATGCGTGCAGTGCGTGTGCCCGGTGCGTGCGGAGGTCGCGTGTGGCTCGGGGCGCGGTCTCAGCTGATGTGTCGATCGGCAGCCAGTGCCGACTCTCTCTTGGTCTCCGGGCCGCGGGCCGAACCGCCCACAGGGGTCAGAGGGAACCGCCCCAAACCGTCCAGCCGCTCCATTCCCCGGCCCACTCCTGTTGAGTGTTACGTGTGTGTGTAACCCGTGAATGGGGCTCAGCCGTCGGCCCAGGCCCTGACCGATCTGTTGTGAGCGCGCCGAATATATTGACGTGTGTATGGGATGTGCCGTTCTTTTTGTTTTGGAAAGCAGACCAATTGCGATTGATATCTTGGATGGGTCATGACACGTGAGATCGAAATGATATCACGGTAGATGATAGATAATGATAACCGTCAAAGTGAGTCACACATCCATTGGCAGAGGTTTTCGTAAATCACAATTGTGCAAAATGCCGTTTTTCTCTTCGGATTATAACGAGAAAAGTGCATGTTGCATATGGACTTTAAAAAGCACAAGGCAAAACGCAGGCTGGCATGACAAATGCATCGTTGATTGAGAAAAAAATGATGCCCATCAGATTAACCAGTGAAAAGCATCTACGATCAAACTATTATATGTATAAATTATTCAGCAAAGCACTCACGAATCCACAGTAGAACTCAATATCACAGCACTGAGTCAGTGACCTATCCGTGAAGTGCTTTAGTGTAGCGCTGTTAATCGTCCGAATGGATATGATGAGTTACAATGCACCCTATCACCACATCCAACAAAACGTTAGCTACATGGGCTGGCTATCAAAACTTCTGAAGAACATCTTTCAAACAAAATAAAATCCAATATAGAATATAAAAACGGTAATGGTGAGGGGCAATGTGATAAGACGATTCACCAGGTTCTGGAATATCTAGGTACACCGCTTCAAATGATAAATGAAATGATGAAAAACAAAGAAAGATGCACAAAATGCATGCTAATACGGAAAATACGTTTTTGCATTGACATGTGCCTTGCTCGTATGTCTTTGCCAAAAGAAGTAAATCAAAACGATGTTTAGAAAATATTTGCTATGTCATGTCATTTTGATATCATTAAAGGGACCCTCCCACCTTCAAAAAAGTTTATGAATTGGCATGAAAGTGATGTCGCTCGGTTCAGAAAGAGCGAAAACGAACATCTACCAAATTTCACCGAAAAATATTCACCGGTTTTCAAGATATTAGACTTTTACTTTTGTTTACTTTTTGGGATCTCCGATGTTCCTAGCGACTTTATTTGGAAGCAATAGTTTGGCAGCTGAAAGTGCGGCACTTGTTGCGCGCAAAGCAGCATAAACCACCGCGTGCTACAAAACGTTTTAGTCAAACATTTAAAAATCGTTAGATATCTGCGCTGGCGTCACACATTCAGAGGGGTATTCCTATGCGTTAGCCCCTCTGAATCAAAATGCTGCAATTTTGAAATTCAATATTTCCGATTTAAGGCATTTCTCGATGTTGTGAGTGCCGAAACCGGTAATTGTGAGCCAGGGACCCCATTTTGGCTATCTCAACTCAAATCTAATGTTAAGGTGGGAGGGTCCCTTTAATATTGAAAATTAGCTGATCGTGAGACACACACATAGGAACAGTAGTGTTTAGGACGAATATTCGAAACACCAGGTACTTTCTATTTATGGTAGCTTTCGAAAGCACTGCGGCTTTCTTCCTCAGCCTAGACAGTTAGACACACATAGAATCAAATCAAAATTAACAATTCATCCTAGTCGTTCGTTTCGTGATATTAAACATCGTTTGGATACGTATGGTGTTTCGAATATTCGTCCTAAACATGATTCCTTCCCAGGTGAATAACAATATTTATCATTACATAGGAACAGTATTTATGCTTGCAATATTTGATACATCTACACCGACACAACCATTCTTTCTCCAGCACAAGCCTGTGGTCCGCGATACCGTGAAGTCACGTGCCCGATGTGCCCCCCCCCCCCTCCCCCAGCGCCATCGTCCCCTCCCTCACCGACGACGCACCCCTCTCGGCAACCTTTCCGCGCTAAAAGCCTCGGAAATTCGATTAGGCCGACTTCCCATGCATTAGCCGACCGGCTCGACGGCGGCGACGGTATAGCGACGACAACGGTGACGACGGCAGCGGCGGTGACTGTGGTGACAGTGGTGACGTCAGCAGCGGTGGCGGAGGTGACAGTGGCGATGGTCATGACAGCAAAAGACAGATGTGGTGACGGTGGTGATGGCAGAAAAAGAAGAGGCACCACGCTTTATAAAAATGAATGTTTGGAAGTATTTACCTAGCATACTACAAGGAACGATTCTGACCCCATCTTTTTCGTCAAAACATATAACATGACGCCAAAACATCGGCGTCGCCATCAACAATCCTTTTGGTCTTTCGGTTTGGCAAATTTTGGTGTTTGGAAGTTTCAGGGAGGATGATGTCTCAGCGAATCAATCAAAGTTAAAATTTCGAGCTTCACACATAAACGACACCCAAATAGCTTTATTTTCAGTTTTTCATGTAAAAAACGAGAAAATGTCATTTTTCCAATTTTTATACTTTTTTCCTGAAAATCGTTGGGTCGAAAATTTCCTGGGTGCATCCTAACTCCTAAGGATTAGTTAGACACGACATCACATGCTCGATGAAAACTATGACGATTGGGGAAACCCACGATCCACGAATCATCCAAACATTAACTCTACCCCGTAAGCACAATAAACAACACCTCAAATGCATCTCCACCCTGTACCCCGTTACCGCGGTCTGACTTCTAATGACGCCGCCGCCACCCTTCATCGAGTTGTCTGCTCCCCTAAATAAATAGTGCAACTCATTTCCTGACCAGAAGTGCGCGGCTGGCTGCGGGCGGGGGCTGCGGGCGGGGGCGGCGGGCGGTGCACGTGGCAGCGGGGTCGGATGCCGGCGGCCGGTCGGCAGGGTCTGCGCCAACACAGCACTAAATCATATCCGGTCGGCCGGACGAGCGGCACGGACCGCCGTTAGCGACACGTCGCCAGAGGACGCGTCTCACGGGCACGACGGTCATGCAACGGCGCCCGGTGCGGGCCCGGTTTATGGGTCGTAACCGGCCACCGGAGCGTGGAGGGCACTGGATGAGGTGATGGCTCGGTGCTGCCGTATACCACTGAGTGGGGCCTTACCTGCCAATGAGCGGGGTCTGACCTCGCACTGAACGAGACCTGACCTTCCACTGGGAAGGGTCTGGCCTTCCACTGAGCGGTACCTAAGCGTGACCTGCCGCAAGCCCACAGTGATACATGACCTGCCATGATGGATGCACGACCTGCCAAAGAACTGATCAAAATGACATCGTTTGTAATGAAAAGGGCGTTTATCCGTTACCAAAAATGCACCCATAAACTCGGTACCTATTTTCATAACAGTATCGATTTTCAGGCCGCATGTTTTCATCAACATTGAGCTGCCGGTGCGGCACTGTGCGGCACAGCGCGGTACTGCCAGCAGAGGTCGCAGGAGTTTGGCCGCCAGAGGTCAGGTGGCGGTGCACCCCTCATCCACTCGGCGACCGTGGCCAGTGCATTAGCCCTCATACCAGGCAGGGGCGGATCCAGAAAATCTCCAAGGGAGGGGCCATTAGAAACCAGGAGGCCCCCCCCATAATCCCACCTGTTGGAGGCCCCATCTTCCCACTTGTTGGCCCCCCCCCCAAAAAAAAACTGCGTCTATTGAGCTTATCTAGCTGTTCAGGCAACATCTCAACATCTGTGCAGGCTTGGAGGCCCTCTGTGCAGGTTAGGAGGCCCTGTAAAAGTGGTCATCTCTGTGAGTATAAGAGACCTCCAAGTTATGAAAAGCTTTACCAATCTTCTAACAAAGAAGTCTTCTCAGCTAGTCTTCTAAGAAATAACTAAGTGGGTAGGTTAAAAAAAACTCATCGGATTTCGGCCACTTTATTTTCAGGAGGCCCCCTTTTCAGCTTTTTAACTTTTTAGCTTTTTATTTTATTTTTGAAAAAAATCGGCCAAGGGGGGGGCCATGGCCCCCATGGCCCCCCCTTGTATCCGCGCCTGATACCAGGAGCGGCT